CAAAGTTCACAGACCACAGATAAGACATCCAAACACATCCTACCCTTGAAACTTGTCCCATGACCTGATCAATTCAATTATAGTTCATTCCGGTGCAAGTTACAGTTCATTTTTGGCTCAAGTCAATTTTTTTGGGTTTAAATTATAACTTTTTTTGGGTCAACTAAATTTAATCTAATTTCACGATGAGTTTATAGTAATTATGGTATGTAACTGAAAAATAATTTTTATAATTTTTTAGTATTATAGTATTGCCTGTTTTTTAATTAGTGATTGACATATAAACACGAAGATACAAAAATTACATGCTTCGAGTTAACCAGAATGCCCATTGGGAGACTCAAATCTGAGAATGGATGAGTTTTTTCCTTATTGTTTGCAACATAATAATCATTTTTATACCCCTCCTTCTTGTTTACGACACAATAGTCATGTCTTTTACCCATTTCCTCTGTAGTTGCTTCCTACTCTTAGTACTTGTACTTATTTTGTGCTTTAGCATGTTCACCTGTTTGCTGATTGCTGTTGTGAAAAGGGTGGTGCTAAGGCATTGTTCAAAGTATCGGTTAATAATGATATGAGTTGATAGAGTTATATTCGACTCGGTATTTTCAGATATGATCCCGATACACAGTATGTATAAGATCCGAATCCCGCATGACTCATCGAGTTGTATCCGAGTCAATTCCTAATCGTCAAATTATCGTCACTGAATCTTCTGATAAAGTTCTACGATGGTGCGATATGACCTGAATCTCTTGTTATATTTAACATTTTTTTTTAAGTCGCATCGTTAGATACTGCACCGTAACGTGGTAACCGATGTGTCTCAGAACTCTCCGAGTTGATTACCGATATCGCAATCTTAAACCATGTGCTAAGTTGCAAGAGTTGCTGTTACTTTGGAGGAATAAATGCTCCAATCCAACTGGCTATTTTCGACAAGTCTTTCTAAATTTTAGAAAAAGAAGTGGTGGTGGCTTTCCTAGCTACTTATGGTCTGTTGCAGCTGAGAAGCTGTTTACTACAATTGCTTTGTTTTGCCTTCTAATCAAGGGCAGTTCTAAGGCTCCACCACAATGTGGTCTAATAAAATTACATATTTACGGTCTTATCCTATATGTAAGTTTTTATATATCATACTAGTTTATAACGTCTAGATTACAATGAAACAACATTATCGTTTTGTCAAAACCCTTATAACTAAGAAATTCATAGCCTTGTATGGCACACAATAAGGAAATCCAAAAAAATATCATAGAAGTCAAGTACAATTGTAGAAATGTAAACCCACCCACCGTCCAGCGGAACATGTTGCCTCTTGCCCTAAAATGCTCAGCACCTGACCTGTGGCATAGGCTTTGCTTCCCCTTCCCTTTGTTGGTGGTGTTCCTTGAGCTATGTATTATTCTATTTTCATAAAATTGGTGACTCTCTCACATATCTATTTAAAGCTATACGTGAGTTTGTGATTACTTTTAGAAAAAAAGTTTGTATAGTTTTTTCGTGCTTAAGATATTGTTAGAAGTTAATTTTTAGGTGTCAATTTCTCAATTATGCATTTTATAATGCTCAATATTCACCGAAACATGAAAATCAATAATTCACGAAAAAACTATGCATTTCAAACACGTTGATAGATTAGTGATTAAGTTTCAAGGCAGCGTAATATTATTTTGTAGCTTCAAGCTATTTTTTTAAGTTGAAGAAAAACTTAACCGATTGCACACACTTGATAGAATAAACAAAACCAACCATGCCGTTATAAGAATAGAAAATGCCACAACAACTATTTAGTTTTTTTTGCCGAAATACTATAATCTTGACGAAACCACGATTTTTCATATAATAAAAATATTATTCATACCTCCACACATAGAAATCTTTTCTATTGTATCTTCCATGGCACCCATAGATCCACAAGTTCATCAAATCTCCCATAAAACTCTGACCGGAACCTATAAAAAAAAAATGATCACATCCCTTGAAGTTCACCGGGGTCATTGCCATCACCTGTTCCCTCAGGCAACAATTGCGCATAACAAAGATATATTTACTGGACCTTGAATATTTAGCCCAATTTCTAGGATTTAAAAGGTCAAGAGTTACCATTTGTTAATGCACGTCCTTAACGGTTTTAAAGGAACATGAACAAGTCATACTGTGTGATTGTATTGTCACCGCGGGGGGGGGGGGAGATTCTTGTCAGAAGGTATGGTGTAATGTGAATGATTTTGAGAGAATGTTGGTGACCGTTGGATGACTATATTTGAGATCATCGAATAGATTTATTGAAATCCGTCCTATTTTATATGATAGATTATAAATTACATATATTTTTTCAAGGGCATAGAGTCTTTCAAAAAAAAAAATTTGTGACTTTTAGAAGTAGTATACATATGGATATAAATATAGATAATTTAATGGGTGGTGAGAAGAAGAAGAGAGACATGAAAGGTCGCTCAACAATTTAATATATTTTATAATGAATACTTATTTATGTGCATAATATTTTGGATATTTAAGAGTTGCTAAAGGGTAAAAGAGTAAAATGATTTTTTTTAAATATGTGTGTATTTAGAAATAGTATAGATTAATTTAATTGACACACCTTGTCGTAGTACTTTTGTAGTTTGATAAAAATTATTTCGGAGAAATCTTAAGAGTTTTAAACAAGGTGAATGTTTCTTGTTTTGATCAGGACTTTACCCTAAATGTCATTTAATGAAAAATACAAATATATCCTTTTTTTATTCCAAAAAATTAGAGTAGAGAGTCAAATTGAACTTTCTATTTTAAAAAGGCTAAATAGAGAGTCCATTGCAGATTAAATTTTAGAAATTAACTCTCTATTTTAAAGAATTGAGTGAGAATAAAAAGTTTATTGAAAATACTCTTAGTATATTGTGACTATTTATTTAATAGTAAACTTCATTCAATCATGAGACCTATAATCCAATTCTCACATTAGTGCTCAAATTATATTTTCAAATTATGTCTCAATTTTTAAGGTGGAGCTTTGATTTCTTCAAAAAAAAATTTCTAGTGATGTTAGACTAGCTAAAAAATGAGATAAAAAATAAATATTAAATGATGTAATATTATAATAATAACGTTTGAACAATGTTTTTGAGATCTAATTTGTTGACTCAATTGACTATAATTTTTGGATTGACTGTAGGTCCTATCAAACATTGAAATTTAACATTAATTCAATGATTTCAATAAAATTAGACTAAAATAGCATTACTCATAATGTTTTTACACTCATTTTTATAATTTAATATTTAATATTTATTTATGATATTAGTTAAGGTGGGGTTATTCTCACCCCTTAACACTCTTTTTCCACCTCATTTAAGTCTCTTGTTTCAAACTATTAAGTCCATCTTATCTAAGTCATCCTATTAGTTACTAAATTCACCACATTTATATGCACTCAATTATACTATTTAACATATGTCAAAGAAACCGAAACAAAAATAGTAATTGAAGCGAAATTTAAATATTCCAAGGTGATCTATATTATTTTGATATATTTTCACTAATGTCTTTCGAAAATATTTTGAGGTGTTTAAGATGTTTTGGTATATTTTGACAAATATTTTAAAAATAATTATTAATTTTTATTTTGTTTTTAAAATTTTTTCGTACCGAAATAATACACGAACATAAAATTTTTATCATTACCTATATAATAGGTTGAAATAAAATTAAATAAATTTAATTTTTAATTAATGAATATAGATGAAGGGTAATTTAAAGTAAGAGTATTATTCAATGCGGTGAGTAAGGAGATTTAAGGGGTAGGAATTACCTCACCCTACTAGTTATGACATCATTTTATCATTATTTTAGTCTATTATTATTGTTATTATTATTATTTTTAGAAGAATTTGGAGGCCAGTCCCTAAGCTCAATAAGATTTTTAAAAAAATTCACTTGTTAATTTTTTTTTGGATTAGGTTCTTGTTGAAAAGTTAAAGCAATGTACATAAATAATACCCTTTTGCCATTGTAAAAAATAACGATAATGTCATCGCCTAATTTAAACATCTATTCTAAAATTTACGTCATCATAATGTATATTTTTATCTATAAATACAAATCGTAAAACAGATATACTAAAAAAACAAATAGGTACGCAATTAAAAAAATATATATATACCTTTGAGCAAAAAAATAAAAATAACAAGTATACAATAAAAAATATAAAAAATAACAAGTACACAATAATCATCAGATATGTATACTAAAAACATAAATCATCAGATAGGTATACTAAAACACAGATCGTCAGACGTAATCATAATATCCAAATTGTTTGACTCACAAATTTAAATTTTAAAACTGATAGTTGACACTGTAAAAACCTTAATAACAAATAGAAAAAACAAAGTTAATTATATTTTTAGTTGAAATTATGTGACGAAGACAAAATGAATAATGAATACTAATAATTAAACAATCCTTTAACATTCACACCATACAAGAATCGCATGCAAGTTTTTTCAGAAATTAAACAAAAATTTATGCTAAAAATTCGACAAAACTAAAATTAGTTTTCATNATCGCATGCAAGTTTTTTCAGAAATTAAACAAAAATTTATGCTAAAAATTCGACAAAACTAAAATTAGTTTTCATACCAAAGATCGTACCTTAATTTACTTTTTTTTTTTTTTTTTGGCGACTTGCCGGTTGCCACTTGCGACTTGCGTCCATGGACCTCACGTGGGATCCACGGCCCATTAGAGTTTTGAATATGCGAGCAACATCAATTAATTAGTTGACAACTCACGCGCACGAGCACTGCAATCTAAACAGAAGCTAAATATCTACGCGTCTTCTAGAAACCAGAGCCTCTCACTTCACTTTTGGTTTCTATTTCTTCCTCCCCTACCTCTCACCTCTCGGAGCAAACGCCGAGATTTGAACATTCTTTCTCTTCTACAGTCACAGACTCACATCCAAACTCAGATCGGAGAAGGTAAAAGCGAAGATGTCGTGGCAAACATATGTGGATGAACACTTGATGTGCGAAATTGAAGGCAATTATCTCACCTCTGCTGCTATCATCGGCCAAGATGGCTCTGTTTGGGCCCAAAGCTCCAATTTCCCTCAGGTTCTTCTTCTTCTTATTATTATTATATTTGATGTATATCTACTTTGATTGATTTAATGGTTTTCGATGAAATCGTTGATGGATTTGGTTTTGTCGGTAAGGAATTTGACGAGTTTAAAGAAGAATTAGCCGTATGTTTTTACCACTTGACTTATGTTCGTGACGAGCTCATGAAATTGTGTACGCGCTCAATTGGTTATTGTTTTGCTAACTTTATACTCTTTTAATTGAGTAATCCGAGTTCGCTCCCTCCAGTTGGTCATGTTCGAGAATTTAGATTGGATCACATTACAGAGTGTCGAATTCGAAGCCCAAACCCATGGGTTTGAGTCTTTATCCTAAATCATGCAGAATAAGAATGGATAACCATGTGGTGTACTTTGGAATGAGCAAACAAAATTGTTTTTTTTTTCTTTAGTTTTGGTATGCACTTTGGTGCTTAAGTAGTTACATGCTGTCTTTAGGTGTATAATTGTTCGCACATGCAAACCATCTTTGTGCAAGCATGGTTGGCCTATTGACTTGAGATTTGTATTGTTTTTCAATGCAAACCTGGTGAACCCATGTTTTTTGTTCTATTTTGATGGTGGTGCTGGTGCTGGTGCAGTTTAAGCCAGAGGAAATTCAAGCCATTGTGAATGACTTCGCTGAACCTGGGTCACTTGCTCCAACCGGCATGTATCTTGGAGGTACAAAGTATATGGTAATCCAAGGAGAAGCGGGGGCTGTTATACGAGGGAAGAAGGTAAGGACTTGAAATTCATGTTCCTTCAAATATTGTAAATTTTTTTTTTTCATTGATTAGTTAATAATTTTATCACATCACTTGACATTCTCTCTCTCTAGTTGTGTGTCATACACTATTTTAGATCTAGATACAACATGAGAGAGAGCTCTTGGGGGTAATTTGTGATATATTGTTTTTGGACACCATTAATTGGTTATTCTTTGTTTTATGATTTTGTTACATTGTTTTTTGGTTTTTGGTCAATTGAGGTTTGGACTTCTTGTCCACCCTCTGTTATGTTGATGTACTTCCTTTTATTATTATTAATAACTTGTTCGATTCTGATAAAAAAAAATCTATAGTTCTACGAGTCACATAAGGTTTTAGATTTGGGCATAATTCTTTGTGTATGAGAGAGTGTGTGTATGAGAGAGAGAGATCCATATAAAGTTGTAGATCTTGGAACTAGAGGAATATATCAAATGACCACAAAATATCACCACCTCTAAAATAGGTGAACAAAGGAAGTGAGATTGCAACCATGAGATGGAGACGCCAGAGACTTGAGAGTTTAGCCTAAGAGATGAGATAAGATGGTAGCGTGTGAGAATAAATTGAACTCTTAGATACAGAGGGATGAGATGATTGATGCTAGGTTAACTAGAGGCTGAAATAGAGGTTAGATTTTGGTGGAGGATCCATAACCCAAAAGGATTTAACAGTACTGGTCGGATTTCATAGGTTGCTATAAACTTCCCAGATCATCCGGGTTTTGATGAAATTTTCTACAAACAATCCAAAGACTATTCTAACCTAGTCTAATCCGGATTTAATAACATGGGATTTTTTGTTTCATTTTGATCGTAGTGGGTCTGCTATAGAGATTAGAGACGGTATGCGGTGGTGGGAGGTGGGTAGTGGGTAGTGGTTGTTTGTGGAATGTTGAGTCTATTGTAGAGACAGTGTGCGGTGGTGCTTGAGGTTGTGGTTGTTTATGGAATGTGGACTTGTGGTGGTGAGGTGATGGTGGATACGGAAAAAGTGGTGTGTGTGATGGGGGGTTTCGTAGTGAGCGAGGCTTCCATGGTGGTGTGCGTGATAGGTTTTAATAAACAAGCAGAAAGATGTCCATTAACTAAGACCTAATGTGAATCCCATTTTCCATTAGAGGGGGGTAGACAATCAAACGGAAGACTTCTGGGAAGGTCTCTGCCTATTTTCTAAACATAATTTGGACCAGACAGGACTGCGGGAGTGAAGTTAGATCTACCCACCGTTAATCTAGTGCCTCCTATAACTCTCAATAAGTAATGCCCAATTTGGATGACAACTTAGGAGTTTACCCTCCAACATAAATAGAAGTTTCCACCAGAAAATACATAATAGAAATTTCTAAAAGTATATGATATGATAATCTACAGGGCTAAACTTGAACATTATTATTGAGTGTGTATTGTGCAATTTGTCAGTTGAAACTTGAATAATTGTATGTTACGGTTGAGGAGGAGAAGAAGAAGAAGAAGAAGAAGCAGAAGAGGAGAAGAAAGAAAGAAAGTGTGAAACAATATTATGTGTAGGGTATATGTTACCAATCACCTATTTATATTAGATTGATTTGATTTTGAAGACAATTATAATATTAGGAATGTAGAACATAATAGAAAAACCGCCACATAAATAGGAAAGTAGAACAATAGGACAAAGACATAATTTGAAGTAACATAATAAGAAAGTAGAACAATATGGAAGTAATTCTTAAAGACTTTTTAAGTTGGATCATAGAGTAATTCTTAAGTTGGATCATAGAGATAAAAAATGCTAATCTTGGAATAAAGACTTTTAAATGTTTATTGCACCAATGGTTTGGTAAGAAAATCACTGAGTTGGTTGCAATATCTCCACTTAAACCATAAGGATAGAACCAGGCTCTACGTGACTGTTTCAAACCATTCAAAGACTTCTTTAATCGACCCACACTACCACGATACTCTACATGAGCAACAAAATCAGGTGATTGCTCCATGTGAAGTCTAAGACATCCAATTGATTATTTAGAAAAACAATTAACGACCTTACACAAAATAAGAATTATCAAATAACGATCTTGACAACAAAGAGGAAAAGAATAAGGTGACGACAAAGGACAAACACAGCAACACCAGTACCATCAACAACAATACGGATACAAATGAACACAATCAATAACACTACAACGAACGACAGGCAAAGTCAAATTAATCTGCAGCAATCGAAAATATGGTAAACCAAGTGGAACTGGATTTGAATCAGCAAAAAAAAGGCTAAACTGGTGCTGAAAATTACAAAACGAATACTGATCCAAAATTGGCACTAAACCTGGCTGAAAACACTGAGTCGGAACTGAACTGAGATGAAAACCATTAAACCGACATCAAACTATGTCGAAAACCATTGAGTCAACACTATACTTGGTTGAAAACAGTGAACTAGAATTAAACTGCGATAAAAAAGGTCACACAACACCAAAAGGTGCCAAAAACCTCAAAATTGACACTAAACCTGAATTGAACAGGGATGAAAAACTACTAAACCAATACAAAACTTGCCCAAAAATTGCAGAATCAACATTAAATCAGGCTAAAACACTGAATTGGAAATGAATCGTGATGAAAAATACTAAGCAAACACCAAATTGTCTCGAAAATCACCTTAACCAACACTAAATCTTCTTGCTAAAAAAACTAAGATGGAATTGAACTGAATGAAAACCATTAAACCATCACCAAACTGGACTGAATATCATTAAATTGACACTAAACCTAATTGAAAACACTAAAATTCACACCCATTATCAGACACCGGAGAGACGAACACGAATCTAGGCACCTCACAATAGCTGGTAATAATCATGATAACCTATTAACAATTAATGGAGATACTGACAATAGGAAAACTACTACTTTGAGTGATTCCAACGACGACAACAATTGATGAACATGTAGGCGACTACAACTTAATGTGTGCTGGGCCGGCCCAACCACGGGGCGAGTGAGCCACTTGCCTAGGGGTGAGCCCTTTACCCAAATATCTTGCTTTGATACCAAGTTGAAATTTAATAATTATATTGTTGGCGTTAAAGAAAGAAATAGAAAGAGGAAGAAAGAGAGTATGAACCAATATTATGTGTAGGGTATATATTGTCAAGACCCTATCACCTATTTATATTAAATTGTTGTTGAAGACAATTACGATGTTGGGAAAGTAGAACAATGAGAAAGAGACATAATTGGAAGTAAAACAATAGGAAAACTCTAAAATTGTCCGATTAGAATAATTTATACTTTCTAGAGTTGTGCATTGACCTTTGACCTGATTTATTTTTTTTCTGACAAAAATAATGACATTGTTAATAATCTATTAATCTGGTAAAGGTTACTTCACTCGGCATAATATAATATTAGAAAGCGGCATTTTGGTGGTTCAGAGAAGCACTCCCACTTGTGCAATTATTGTCACATTTAATAACTGATTGACTATATGTGTCCCTTTATTTCAGGGTCCGGGTGGTGTTACTGTCAAGAAGACGAACCTAGCTTTGATCATAGGAATATATGATGAGCCTATGGCTCCCGGTCAGTGCAACATGATTGTTGAAAGGCTGGGTGATTATCTCATTGATCAAGGTCTCTAGACGCCTGGGTACTGAGGTTACTATTGCATTATAATTTTCTTTCCTTTTTCTGTGCATTTTTTTCTTCTTTCTTTGTTTTTGCCCCCTTTTTTTTTTTTGCTCCTATGGAGCTTGCAGCTACCTGTCTGAAGTTGGAATTGTTGCAGTGTAGTATTTAAATAATTGAAGTCCTGGAGAACTACATGTGCATTTCTACTTGGAAACTGAAAGATGTGGTCTCTCTCTCTTGTATCAAGTTGTTGACGTTGTATTCTCTCTCTCCTTCCCCCCCCTCTCTTTCCAATGTTGTGATTGTCTGTGCTTGGATGTTGTCTACTCCTGATACTTGGGCTTTTTCCAGTTGAAATGGTTCTGTACTTCTGTTAGTTTGACATTTTATATGTCACCGTTTGGCATTTCCTAAAAGCACTTGCCCTTGGTGTTGCAAAAGGAAATGAATTAGAACTTTTGAACTCGTAACAGTAATTACCATTATTATGAGACCCCTTTTTTAAAATGCGCCACAGCCCAGAAACCACAGATTGTTGTTGCAGTGAAAGAAAATCGCTTAACACAGTATAAAGGGTAAGCAGAGGGCAACAATATAGGAGAACGAACGTTTAAACAAGCCAGATGCATCTGTCACCACAAAAGAATCAAACTGTTCCTTTCATCATATGTTCTGTATTGAACAGTGTCATGTTTGCTCAGAATTTCATCGTTCCTCTTTGCAGTTGCATGAATACCCGCCCTTTCAATTTCTCTTTATTTTTTTTTATTTTTTGGGGGAAAGGGAAGGAACTTGAACTTTTGATCTCAATATAACAAAACTTTCACAAAACATGGAGCATCATTGGACTAAAAGCTTGTTGGTGCTTGCGATTACTATGCAGCCAAGCTACTTTGCGGATGCGTTGGCAAGTAGCCTTTGGCCCCAGGATGTCCAAAGCATTGCCGGCTAAATGTATAAGTTAAGCTCGTCCAACACACAATGGTCAAATTCTTCTATCGACTTTGGAAAACCGGAGGATGATGAGCTACGACCTCTCTATGCACATTGACACTAGTAGTGAGAGCTTCCCTCAATGCCAGCCTAGTTAAAGGGTCATTTCCTAGTTTGATTCCCGTTAATCAATACCAGCTAGGAGCTAGCTATAGAAACCAGAAGAGCTTCACCTAAGGGCATATAGGTTCCCCCTCTTCCTGATGACCTTCCAAGCGGAGGATACACTAAATAACCTATTTATAGTATTGTTCCTTAAAACTTCCAATCCTATTCATACCTTATGAGGCTATATCAATCATGGCAAGATCCAAATATTCTGAGAAACTGAGGAAGATGGTCGTTCATCCTGCTCCTCCACATATGCAATTGAACTTCATGACCTAAAGGGCAGAGAAAAAACTTAATGAGTGATCCATTTAGAATTCCGCTGCCATAGGATCCCAAAACGCCGATTGCCTCATTTTTTGACAGGAACAACAGAGACTATAATTCAGATCCTTCCATGATATCCTTGATTTCTAGAGAGACAGATGAGCGAAAGTTCTCATCCATGTAGATGAGTTGACAGAACAACCACCTCGTCTGAATTCATGTCCCCCATCCACCCATTTCCGTTTTAAAGCACTTGCTACCAATAATCATTACAAGAGCATCTTCCATGTTTAAAATGATGGAAGCGACTCCGGTCACGCACAATAATCTCTCGGTGAATGATACCGGAAATTATCTTTATTGCATCATGACAGTCATCACAAATTCTCAGATTCTTAACAACACGAATCGTGGTTCCTTCACTAGTACTAATGAGACCAAATGCAATTGCCAACTTCTCACTGTGTGTGGATAAAGCATCCTCTTTCTCTTCCTCGTCTACATTGTGCACTACTAGGTCTGTCTTTGGTTTATACCCGGCTAGCTTCATTTTCAATCCTAGCTCTCTGATCATTATGTATATCTTTTCGGATAGAGGGTGAGACTTGTCTCCCATGAAAAACTCGTACACTCTGTTATCCACCTCAATCCAAGAGCATCCAGGGGTTTTCATTACCCCATTATCTCGCATTCTCAACCTACACTTTGCCGCATCATCCAACCTACCCATTGAAGCATAAAGGTTGGCGAGATATATATAGCTGCCGGAATGTTCAGCATCCAGTTCAAGAATACGCTGAACAACCCGCTCCCCTCTGTCAGTGTCTTTGTAAATCCGACAACCACCAAGCAGTGCACCCCAAACTATAACATTCGGTTTCATGGGCATCGATTTGATCATATCCTCTGCTTTGTCAAGGCGACCTGCTCGACTTAGAAGATCAATCACACACCCATAGTGCTCAATCTTGGGACTTAATTTATATTCCTTCTCCATCATATGAAAATACTCTAGCCCTTTACCAACCAACCCTGTATGAGTACATGCTGTTAATAACCCCATGAATGTAACATCATTTGGATGAACTCCACATCCAAGCATTCCATAGAAGTACCCAAAAGCTTCATCTGCATGACCATGTATGGCCAACCCAGTTACAAGTATACTCCATGATATAACATCCCTATCTTGCATTTTTTCAAAAATCCTTTTAGCTTCCACTATACACCCACACTTTGCATACATGTCAGCCAAGGCGTTCCCTAAAAACAAGCCCAATTCCATCCTGCTGCTACTAATAAATCTATCAATCCACTTCCCCAAATCAAGTGCACCCAAATGGGCACAAGCCGGCAATACACTCACAAGAGTAACATCATTCAGTCTCACTCCCATTTTTTGCATTTGCCTGAAAACCTCGATGGCCTCATTATACTTCTCATGTTGCGAGTAACCAGCAATCATAGCATTCCAAGAAACCACATTTCTCTCTGGCATTGCATTGAAAAGACCTTTAGCCTCATCCAACAGACCCAACCGTGCATACCCACTAATTAGAGTCGACCAAGAAACCAAATTTCTCTCTCCCATCTCTTCAAATGCCCTTCTAGCCTCATGCACACGACCACACAAACAATACCCAGAAAGCATTGTGTTCCAAGACACGACATCTCTAATAGACATTTCATCAAAGAGTTGAAATGCTATTTTTTCGTGACCAACTTTAAAATACATATCAATTAGTGAATTTCTCACGAAAAGGTTAAATTCAAACCCACATTTAGCAACAACACTGTGAATTTTAGACCCTTCAACGTCGTCCTTTAGGCCAGCACAGGCTTTGAGGACAGAAGTGAAGGTATACTCATCCGGATCAGGGGCTTTTGGTGATGAGATTTGGGAATTGAAGTATTGGATTGTACGGATGAAGTCATTGTTTTGGGCAAAGGCTTTTAGGATTGAATTGTAGGAGAAAATGTTTGGGTTCTGGAGGTAGTGGGTGAAGATTAAGGAGGCGTGGCGCACATTACCATGGTCGGCGCAAGAACCGATAAGCTTGACGGCGACGATGTTTGAGTCGAAATTCAGGATTGGGGAGACGGTGACCTGGGCTTGGATTTGGAGGAGGTGAGTCATACCGAGCTGGCTGGCGCATTTTAGCAGGAGATGGAGGAGTCGGGTGTGGTTGGTGCTGTGATGAGGTTGAAGACGACAAGCCAGGGTTTGGGGGTAGACAGTTGACTCGGCTCCCTTACGCCGTGTATATATGAGTCTGGATTGGAGGGAAATAAACAGTTTGCCCCTAAACTTTTACAAGATGTCGCTTACTCCCTAAAAAATTAAAAATCTTACATTGTACCTTAAAAGTTTTTTAAACGGTAGCAATGTGTTCCATTTAATAAATGGGGTCACACTTTTGGTATGTTGACGTGCCCCATGCCATGCATGTGGTTTGAGATGATTAATTTTTTTTATAAAATAAAATGTAATGTTCAATTTTTTTATGAATCAAAATGACATTATGATTTCTTTAGGAAGACAAAAAAATGCACGAACACCATCTTATGGTTGACACATTGCTGCAGTTTAAAAGACAAAAGGTTGATGTAAAGTTTTTTTTTTTCTTTTTTAAGGAGGAAAGTTAAAGAATTTTAAACTTTTTCAATGCCTAAAACTTCATTAACCTTCTTTTTTTTTTGGGAAAATTAAGCTTAAACTTTTTAAAGTTTGTCACTTAATTATTTAGACCCTTAATATTTAAAATATTATACACATATCCCTTAAGGTTTGTACGTAATAATATTTAGATCTTTGTCGTTAATGTCTGTTAGTTTATACGTTAATAAATTACACTCAGATCCCTTAAAATATTTAAACTTCTGAAGTTTAAAATGTTATACATAGACAAAAAATACTCCAATTAAAGATAGAATATCAAATATTTTAAATTTTATAATTAAAATTCATGTTTTATTATGTCATTTATTGAAATAAAATCAAAAATAAATATTTAATTTTTTTTTCAAAAAATCATAATTAGTATACAATTATATTATCTATTGGAATAAATCTAAAAAAAAATAAGGGATCAAATTGTAATAGATAGAATATTTTCTATCTTTAATTAGAATAATCTGATCGTTTAATAGATTTTGTTAGTTCTGTAACTAATAAGCAGTTTAAGTATAATATTTTAAATTTGAAGGAACTAAGTGTTTTATAGTTACAAATTTCATGGGGTTTAGATATAATTTATTATCGAATTTAATAACGGACATTGACAGCAGGAGTCTAAGTGTTACGCGTGTACAAATTTCAAAAGATTGTTGTGTAATATTTTAAATTTAAAGGTNATAATATTTTAAATTTGAAGGAACTAAGTGTTTTATAGTTACAAATTTCATGGGGTTTAGATATAATTTATTATCGAATTTAATAACGGACATTGACAGCAGGAGTCTAAGTGTTACGCGTGTACAAATTTCAAAAGATTGTTGTGTAATATTTTAAATTTAAAGGTCTAAGTGATTAAGTGAAAAATATCAGAGAGTCTGAATGTAATTTTTTTTTTTTTATTAATGATAATTTCATTCAGATATCGTTTAAACTCGTGAGTATGTTATAAATTCTCAATATGTATAATCCTTCCTGAATTATATGTTTAGGATACATTAATATCTCTTATTTATTTATTTATTGGGAGAGGGAAATGAGGTTTGAACCCTTGATCTCAAGAAAATAAAATTTTCACAAGATAAAGAGTATTATTAGACTAAAGGGTCGTTGATAAAAAACCTTTTTATAAAAGTATAGCTTGGAGACATAAAAAAAATAATCTTTGAAATTATTTGAGATGGGTGTTGATAAAAAACTTTTTTATAAAAGTATAGCTTGGAGACATAAAAAAAATAATCTTTGAAATTATTTGAGATGGGTTAGGATGAACAAAATCAATTTATTAGAGTGGGACCAACTGACTTGTGCGCGTAGATTTTTGCACAATAAATGAAATGGAAACATATCTCTCCCCTAGTGAACTCGTGTCCGTCGAGATGGTGGATCCCACATCAAGGAATGAGTTGAGAGGGCTAAAAGGGGCCTAAGGAGTGGTGATGAATTGCTCCAGAGGTTGTCCAACCAGTCCCGGTGGGTCACAAGGGGTTCCTGGCGCACAGAAAATAGGTTAGAAGGGTGTCGGAGTATTTTTCGGCGTATCCCCTCCGACGATCAAGTCAGTTCTTTGAGAGAGGGGAAGAAGAATATGTTATCTTGCTTTGGGAGATGATTTTGCGTATCTTTGCAATGTATTTTTGGGGACTATTTATACCTTCAATGACTTATCATTACTGATGGCCTAGGCAGTAGGTAGTATTCAAAAATGGGGCAGTGTGCCTCCTATTTCACATGGGGAGTGCCCCAATATTAATAGCTCGGGAAGTCGAGCACTTAATGCTCTTTTTCCAATGTAAGGACATTAAATGCTCAGGCCTTGGATCATTTAATGCTCCTCTTCCTCGGCTCCCAAAGCCACTGTGGATGTCCCATCATGTGAGGATTCATTGAATGTTTGCCTGAGAAAGCTGTATGTCAGCAATGACATTTTTGTCTTTTTACCCATAACTATGTACTTTATGTCATGTGCCTAACTCCCCTTGGTTAACTGTCTTGTTGGCTCTGTCATCTTGATTTTATTGTGCAGAGCACCACCATCATCCCTAATCCAGCTAAGAATGACTAGCTGTTAGTTAGTAGCTGTCAATCAGTAGCCTTTCTAGAAATAGGAAACACGTGGCGGGACCAGAATTCCAGCAAGTACTCTTGAAGCCGAGGATATGCGATTGCTCGGGGGGGAGGTACCTCGGAGCAGGGAACAACCCTATGCCAAGGACATATGTTCTAGTCAGAATAAAAGGGGGTACTCTCTACGCTGAGGACATGTGTTGGCAATCTACTCCTTTCTCGGGAGTGTCCCATCATGACTCTATAAGCAAGTGAAATGTTTACTTGGGGCCCATAAAAANCAATCTACTCCTTTCTCGGGAGTGTCCCATCATGACTCTATAAGCAAGTGAAATGTTTACTTGGGGCCCATAAAAAATGAGGGCCCTAATTATATTATAGGTCTTTATAATATGTATTAATCTGGTTTAAGAATATTATAGAATAAGAGATTCACAAAGATACAAAATTTAATTATCTATTTTTCTTTAATAAATTTTACACTTTTTCATCAAATCAACGGTCATCACTCGCTTAAAAGATCACACACTCTCTCTTTATTTTTTGTCAATCCAATCACTCTTCATAATTAGGGCATATACAAATACATTTATATAAACAAATTCCGTGTACATCTCTCTCACAATCTCTCTATCTCTCTCATCACTCATAACACATTGAAAAATAGCATAACCATAAAGTTGAATAAACTCTCTCTTCATGGAAAAAGTAGTATAACCATAAAATAACATATATATTTATAATTAATATATAAAAGCAACATTTAAAATTTTTGCTTAGGACCCTAAATTCTACTGAGCCAGCCCAAAAGAAATTATTCAATCACATATATGTAGCTATGACACATTGTTTAGTGTTGGATTCAGATCTCTTCCAAAACGTGTGGTTTAAAAAAAATTACTAATTTATTTATATACTAGTTATTGTCTGTGCTTAAAGATATA